TGTGAACAAAATGCAGGTCGCATTTATTATCCGATTGAGATGAAATTTTCCAAACAACATTTGTTTGGCCCAAGGACGAACCCTATTGAAATTGGAGATAATCGGTAAAAATTTAGATATAGCTCCCATATATATCTTCGTCCGATTTGCCTTTTATTGTGCACCAAACGTGTAATATCAGCCCAAATGGTATGGAATTTTGCACATATAACCAAATTAGGCCTGAAAATAAGTATGACAAATTTGATAGAAATCGGTTCAGATATAGCTATAGCTCCCATATATATTGTTCATCCGATTAGTTATTTTTGTCCTCCGCAGCCGTAATATGCTCTCTGTAACAACAATATTTGGGGAAATATATCAAATGCAGCTCAGAAATACCTTTGCTAAATTTTATTGAGATGGGTTCAGATTTGGATATAGCTCCCATATATAACTTCGTCCGATTTACCTTTTATTTGCCCAAATGGGATGGAATTTGGCACATACGACCGAATTTAGTCTAGAAAGTAGTATGCCAAATTTGGTGAAGATCGGTTCAGATATAGTTATAGCACCCATATATATTGTTCATCCGATTTATTGTATTTGTTACCCCACAGCCGTATTATGCCCTCAGTAACAACGATATTCAGGGAAATATATCAAATACAGCTCAGAAATATCTTTGCCAAATTTTATCAAGATCGGTTCCGATTTGGATATAGCTCCCATATATATATTTATCTGATTTCAAATTAATTTTGCACCAAATGGGCAATACAAGTCCGAATTTAAAAGATACAAATGCTTCGGCATACTTAGTCCTTTGAACTTTACATTATAATTAAAACTTTTAATTTTTATGTGGAGCTCTACTAAATTAGCAAAGTGGTGTAGGGTATCATAAACTCAGCCCCGCCAGACTTTAGGAATTTCTTTACTCGTTTTTAATATCATATCATGCACTATACAGCAATGTTATTTGGTACTAGAGGTACAAAAGCCTCCGTCAAGTTTGTCGAAAATCTATTCAAGTTTGGCTATAGTTCCCAAATTGTGACTACTCTAAAGCCTTGATAGGTATTCAAATAAGGTTTATAGTTGGTTTTTGCTACGTGAGATATTCTAAATGCACATAGTGGTGTAGGGTATCATATAGTCGGCCTTGCCGAGTTTTTACCTCTCCTTACTAGTATTTATAATGTTTTTGTGTCATGTCGTGGTTCGGAAATGTAGATATGCATTATGTCTATTTTTTATTGTTTTATGTCTTTGCTCTAAACTTTAATTAAACTTTATCGGGTCCAAAAAATGAATGCGTTCTTCAACCAATAATTGTCCACTTTCCCAGCTCTAAAATTAAATCCATCTCAAAAAATTTAAGATTTTCAATGAATAATTAATATTGCTGCTCATTATTCATATTGCTCTCATTATCCTTGTTTACAAATAGCCGAAAACTTTCTCCTTGTTCTCGTTATGATGATTTTAGTTGCGTTGCAGTTTGTTCGTTGCATTCGTCCATAGCTTTGGTTTTGTCTGTATGTGTGTGTGCGTTTTGGTTTCCAAATATTTATTTAAGCACTGCTTTGTTTTTCTTTCTTTGTCAGCGGACACTCAACAAAAATCCCCAAAGTTCAAAAAGTCTCATTAATATCGGATTAAATCACCAAGAGAGAGAGAGAGAGAGGGAGACAATAATGACATTGTCACCAAATATTTACAAAACCAAAAGCCACAACATTTTCAAGCAAACTGCCATCGAAGAAGAAACTTCTTCAGCAGCTCTAGCAACTGTCAAATTGCAATGATAATATCAACAGCAACAACAACAAACAACAGCTAAAACTGAAAGGGATAAAACTACCACAAACAACCAGTCGAGATGAACAAAAAGTTGTTAAAAATTAGTTGCACTGCAGTTTTTTGTAGTTGTTTTTGTTTTTAGTTCCAGTTGCAATCGCCGCCAGACAACTGCAAATTGTAGTGTCCTCTGTGATGTTAAAGAAAAACACTATCACCATCCACCCCAAAATTACAGTGATGACAGCAATAGAATATCACCGAATCTGGGGAGTTGAGCTGATACCACTTGAAAGCTGGACAAAAGTTGGAAGCGTGATGGTGTTGCTGATTTTGCCGAAAGTCAAGAAGAAGAGCTAAAAACAAATACAAAACTTGGAACTCCAAGAAAAACAATTTCCTGATAGCTAAGATCATCTCAGCAAAAAGGGAAATTAAATGATGACAATGTCTTCGTCTTGGTTCAGGAGCAGAAGGAAATCTTTATGGAGGAAGTTGAAGGGACAGGAAGTCTATTTATACGACACAAAGGTTTAAGGCATCTTCATCGAAAGACGAGCAGAAGAGCCTCAGGGACTCTAGATCGGAGGAAAACCTGGAGGATCTCAGGGAGTCTACTGTGAACGACTGGCTGAAGAGCGACCAGGTAGACTCAATCGATAAAGACGAGGTGGAGAGTCTATCTACATAGGCGAGCGGGAGGGCCTCAGGGACTCCTCCTTAAAATATGAACTGGAGGGCCTCAGAAAGCCTACCATGATAGACGAGATGAAGGATTTCATCGAATTCAAAAAGTTTGGGGTTCACAGAGATAACAGGGCTATAGCCAGGGATATATTTGCTGAAGGGCCATACAGGTAGTCTATCCACATATGTATGTTTTGAAGGGTTAAGGATGTTAGGGAGTCTTCATCGAAAGAAGAGCTGAAGGGTCTTAGGGGCTCTACATCAGCAGAAGAGCAGGAAGACCTCAGGGGGGTCTACAGCGATAGACGAGCTGAAGGGCGACCAAGTACAGAGACAGAAAAGCTAAGGTGCCATTCAGGGAGTCTACATTGATAGACGAGCTGGAGGAAGGCCAAGAAGAGTTTGTCGACACATAAAACCTGGATAGTCTATCGACATAGACGACGTATAGGGCCAGTCAGGGAGTCAGGGAAATTGCTTTAGAGAATCATCATCGAGAGATAAACTGGAGGGATTCAGGAAGCCAACCTCGGTAGACGAGCTGAAGAATCTCCGGGAGTCTATTTCGATAGACGAACTGAAGACCATCAGAAAATTTGCATCGATAAACGAGCAGAAGGGTCTCAGAGAATCTTCATCGATAGACGAATTGAAGGGCCTCAGGGAATCTACCTCAATAGACGAGCTAAAGGATCTAAAGAGGTTTATACCGATAGGCGAGCTGAAGAGACTTCGCGAAGGCAACATATTAATACGTGTTAAATCTCCAGTCGGGAGCTAAAGGAAGGTTTATCTATATAGACGAGCTAAAGGGCTAGGGAGGCTAAGAGGACTTAGAGGAGCTGAAAGACGGGGGAGGCTATATGCATTGGCATAAGCTGAATGGACAGAATGTACACTTACACAGACTAGCTGAAGGACTAGACATTTATGTGAAGGACCACTGGTTTACCTGAAACACTACAGGTTTATCTGAAGAGCCAGAGGTTTATGTGAAAGGCCAGATGTGTACCAGAATAGCCTTAAGTATATTTGAAGGGCTACAGGTCTATATTAAAAGTCAGAGTTTTTTCCGGAGGTTCCAGATTTGTGTCTGAAGGTCTCAGAGGTCTATCTGAGTGATCACAGAGATATGAAGGTTCAGAGGTTTATTTGAAGAGCCGCAGATTGGTTTAAAGGGTCAGATATCTCTCTGAAGGCAGATGTCTATTTCAGGGGCTTTCGGACAGTTCTGCATTTAGACAGACCCGTGGCCATTGGTAGCTCTGAAATGCCTCAGGTCTATTTGAAGGGCTCAAGGTCTGTCGAAAGGGCTAAAGGTTTATCTGAAGGTCTAGAGGTCTACCTAAAGGGCCCAGAGGTTTAAGGGTTCACAACTATATTTGAAGGACCGGGGGTCTATTAAAAGTCCTTTCTGACCGCAGGATTATTTGAAGAGCCAAAGGATTATCTTAGATCTGTCTGAAGGGACATAGGTCTATCTGAAGTATCAGAGGTCTACCTGAATGGCCAGAGGCCGATCTTAAGGGCCAGAGGTTTAGCTAAGGACAAGAGATCTTTCTGAAGGGCCAGAAGTCTAACTGTAGGAGCAAAGACATGTCTGAAGGACAATAGGTCTGTTTATAAAGACTTCCTTAAATTAGTCTATATAAACTACTGTTCAGCTCGTCTATGAAGACACCCTCAGGTTTGTCTATAAAGACTTCCTCATGTTCGTTTATGAGGACACCCGTGCCGCTCGTCTATGAAGACTCCCGTGCTGCTCGTCTATGAAGACTCTTGTTCAGCTTGTCTACTCGTCTTCCTTCGACTCGTCTTTACAGTACTCGGATAAAGACTCCTTCGACTCGTCGAAAAAAACTACCTTCGGCTTACCTATAAAGACTCCCTTTGCCTAGTCTATAAAGACTCCTTCAGATCGTCTTTTAAGACTACCATCGGCTAGTTGATAAAGACTTCTGTTATCGTCTCAGCTCGTCTACAGAAAAAATTAGCTGTAATTTCGTATTTGGCGTTCCAATTTGTTCAAAAGTATTAAACCGGTTTACGTTTTGGTATAACCCTCTTGTAACGATTCCGCCAGATTTTGGGTAATTTAAGGACTCTTTTTATGAACGTTAATATCCTGAATTATCCGTAATCATAACTCCGTACTTTGTTACAATATATGAGGAAAAAAATTCAGTTTGAAATCGATTTAGGTGGCGCCCAACTTGCAAGAAGCTAACTTGTTCCCATATAAATTAGTAAAAAAAATTAATAATTCGAAGGGGGCCAGTTTCAACTTGTATACGCCCTGGAGAGCTATAACTAAGTTGTGCTTTCTCCCTCTATGTTTTAATTCATCTAAAATCTAGCAGGGGACTAAAAATGTATTTCTTCTTCGGTAATAGGTCCGAGATAAAAATAACATGTTTTCTCTGAGAATGAAAAATTGTTCACAAGTTTTAGACTGCAAAGCAATAATATATTTACAAAAATTAAAATAGAATGAACTACATTTTACTTCACACACACACACATATATGCACATAGAAATTTGATAATAATTGACAACTTTTATAAACATACACATAACAATCTTGAAATTACAGATTGAAATAAGGTCATCTGAATTGAACCACTATTACGGCCTGTGCTTCTTGGAACTACTTCGCTCAGTGGTTTTTTGAACATTTCCGATATGAACCCAACAGATTATAAGACCCATGGGCTTTTTCTTATATTCTAAATAATGATTGGTTCTATAGTCGCCTTGAGGTATATAACCGGGTAAATTCATATCATTAATATGATAACCAGTCAGAGTGTAGTTGAAGTTCTGTGAAACCAAAAAACGAAAATCTTTAATGTCTCTAATCTCAAATTTATGCTAAAGCTCTACTACCTTACGAAGTGGACATGTCGGCACTACATTTAAGAATTTCTTAAAATTATCCACATAGGCCACCAGAACTTTCGTTTTCAGAGCCACATCGAGTAAATCACAGGCATTGACGGTTAAATCGAATATTTTTCTGGTTGGCATATTTTTACGATAGAAATGCACCGTTGTTCGTATACTGAAGTCCGATAGTACCGATGCTAGTTCCAATCTTCCGTAAATTAATCCCAAATTATTGGTATCGTTTCGTACGCTACACTCAAAATGTCGTATTCGCGAGGTGTTGTATTGGCAAGAAATTTGAGTGAATTGAATGCCATAGTTGCGCTAGAAAATTGAAAAATTTTATAATTTTATATTCGGAAAAATATACTTATCTAATGAAAATTACCTCAGCTTTAATTGTCAGTGCAAGGAAATAAAGACTAAATATTAACAGAATAATATTTAAACGACTTCCTCGTTCGGCAAACATTTTGAAACTACTTAAATGTTTTATTACAAATTGGCCAGTTTTAGGAAATTTTGTCGCTGAAATGCCAGTACACTGAGAAAAAAATTACATTTCGATGCTAAATAAAAAATTAGTGTAAAATATCTTTGTAAAATTCTGTATAAGGCAAGTCGGCCCATACTAATGGCGATTCAGGGGAGTATTTCGAAATAGTAGAGTTTTGTCATGTTATGGGAGTACCAGGTACCTGAAATTTCTTTTTGTGTTTTTTATACAAATTCTCATACAAATAAAGCAATTGAAAAAATATATACCCATATGGGTATAATTATAAATCAATTTATTTTAGATTGAATTCAGATTAAACGTCTGCATTAAAATTTAAATAAAAAACCACCATAAATTCAATGCCGGTAAATGATTTAAATATTTATAATAATCGCCATCACCATCAATATATATGGCAAATCGAACTTGTTAAACCATCCAATGAACTGGTGATGGTGACAAATCTATGTTAAAATAAATGAAAAATCAGTAAGTTCAGGCGGGCCAAACTTTGAATACCCTCCACCATTTGGAAGGAATTTGGCAATTATCAAAAAAAAAAAATAAATAAATAAATAAAATAAAATAAAATAAATAAATAAAAATATAATAATTATAATAAAATCCTTCAAAAATTCTATTAAAATCTTAAAAATATCGAATGTAGCCGTTATATTAGGGTCTATACTACGACGTAGACCTACACAAGCAATTTTTGCCGTAAGCCATTACAATATTCAAATGCGAAACTTGAAAAAAAATCGGTGAATAATGTTGCTACAATCATAAAAATACCGAATGTCGGGAGGTACCGTTATATGGGGGTTATATGAAGACATGGACCTGTATGGCCTATTTTCAATACCAAAAGCCCTGCAGACATATACATTTGAGTAAAATTTTATCAATCTACTTCAATTCGTTCGGAAGCAAGAGTGATTTCTACAGATGGGCAGACGGATAGACGGACGGACATCGTTAAATTGACATATAATTTTGTGCTGATCAAGAGATTATATACTTTGTGGGATCTAAAATGTACATTTTGGAGGTGTTACAAACGGAATGACAAACATAATATACCCTCCATATTATGGTGGGTACTAAATCGGTGAATAATGTATCATAAAAATACCGAATATAGAGATGTACCATTATATGGTGGATATATCAAAACGTGGACCTGCATTTTTGCCATAGTTTGGACCTGCATTTTTGCAATGTTGCTAAAATCATCAAAATACCGAAAATCAGGGGTACCGTTATATGGGGGCTATACGAAGACGTGGACATGCACAGACAATTTTCTGTCATAGGCTGTAGTATCAATTACGAACTTCAACTACCAAATTTGAAAAAATTCCGGTGAATAATGTAGCCAAAATCATGAAAACTGATCTGTTGACCTTTTTGGAGGGGGTACCAGAAGGATATTGCTAATTTCCGAACTCGATCTAAGTATGATTATAATATTGTGATGTACCAAGTCGGATACTTCCTGGGTAGGGTCAGGAGATTGAAGTTTATTTTTAAGTATTTAGTGGTTAAAATTGACCAAAAATGGGTGATTTTGCAGCTGCTCTACAGGCTACAATAATTAACCAATCAGCGGAATTTTGCATGAGCTTAGAGTTTATGGCTGTGCAAAAGCCTACCAATTTGGATGGTCATCTGACAACAAGTAGATGGTAAAATGGAGCATGACTTTTGTATAAAAAAAATTGAAAAAAATCCATTAAACTGCAAATATTTCTAATCCCGGCAAAATCAGGCGAAGCGGAGCAAAGATGATTGAAAATAATTTTGGGATTGAAATGAACCAAACATTCTTGAGGTAAAAGCCATACCATAGCTTCTACTATTAAAGTTTTTTGGTTGTTTGGTTTTTGGTGTAATGCTCTTAAATAGAGGACTGCAGTCGCTTTAAAGAACCCGTTGTACCACAAATAACTTCACTTGGTTGCTTCATAAAGAAGCCTCCTCAGCTAACCCAAATTTTTTACAATATCTTCAAATTTATTTTTTATAAATTGCAAATCGAAAAAAACACAGATTAAATTCACATTTTTATATTTTTTTTTTTTTTTTTTTGAAATATTTTTATGACCTTTTTCGAGCCGGAAAATACCAACGACATGGTCGAATATAAATCCAGAGCATATCGGCTCAGAGCCATTGTTGCAAATAAATGACTTTGAAATGCCGGAGAACCGAACGGAACGGATGAATGAATGGATGGATGGCTTAATGCAGCCAGCCAGCCATCCAACCAACCGTCCATCCATCCATCCATGTGAATGAACCGGCCAAATGACAGTGGAGTTGGGTGTCACAACGTTCCAGGTAAAATCACTCAGTCACCCGACAGAATTCATAACTATTCTTGTTAAAAACATATTGCAACAACATCCAATGGCCATTGCAACAAATTGCATGGCATTTTACTCGTATTGTCCTCTTTTTTCCCTGCCACTGATGCAATACTTGTATTTTGTGCCTAATAATTCATGTTACATTTTAATAAAAATGCTGAGGCTTAAAATTAAAAAAAAAATGGTAAAAAAGGATTGGGCAATAGCCATAAAACGCCTACATCTGTAGAGATTTGTAGGTGTCTAAGTGTGTGTTTCTATATTTTGAATTAGTTGGCGTTTTGAAATTATGAGGGTAGTTAAATAAGAGAGATATTAAAATTTTAAAAATATTTTTTAAAGGAAAAACGTGGATTTTTGAAGAATATTTTTTCAAGGACCAGTAGACCAATAAACGTGGATTTTTAAAGGATATTTTTTCAAGGAACAATAGATGTGGATTTTTAAAGAATATTTTTTCAAGGACCAATAAACGTGGATTTTTAAAGAATATTTTTTCAAGGACCAATAAACGTGGATTTTTAAAGAATATTTTTTCAAGGACCAATAAACGTGGATTTTTAAAGATTTTTTTCCAAGGACCAATGGACCAATAAACGTGGATTTTTAAACATTTTTTCCAAGGACCAATGGACCATTAAACGTGGATTTTTAAAGATTTTTTTCCAAGGACCAATGGACCAATAAACGTGGATTATTAAAGATTTTTTTCCAAGGACCAATGGACCAATAAACGTGGATTTTTAAAGGATTTTTTTTCCAAGGACCAATAGACCATTAAACGTGGATTTTTAAAGAATTTTTTTCCAAGGACCAATGGACCAATAAACGTGGATTTTTAAAGAATTTTTTTCCAAGGACCAATAGACCAATAAACGTGGATTTTTAAAGAATTTTTTTCCAAGGACCAATAGACCAATAAACGTGGATTTTTAAAGAATTTTTTTCCAAGGACTAAAAGACCAATTAACGTGGATTTTAAAGAATATTTTTCCAAGGACCAATGGACCAATAAACTTGGATTTTAAAAGAATATTTTTCCAAGGACCAATGGACCAATAAACTTGGATTTTAAAATTTTCCAAGGACCAATGGGTTAATAATCGTGGATTTTTATAGAATTTTTTTCCAAGGACCAATAGTCCCATAAACGTGGATTTTTAAAGAATTTTTTTTCAAGGACCAATAAACCAATAAACGTGGATTTTTAAAGATTTTTTTTTTCCAAGGACCAATAGACCAATAAACGTGTTCATCGAATATACAAAATTGTCAAACAAAACTTTCAAACTTCATATTCATTTAATTTTGCTGACTGCAACACGATACGCGACAAATCCTGTAAATTCATATTTTTTCATAAACGCGAAAGGTGGTCAGATGGATGGATGGATAGAAGTTCCGATGAAATAACACCATTGTGAATCTGTAGCTGCCGGTGTCTCCCCCAATGGATAGATGGTTGGTTGGAGTAAAATATTCAACCACGGCCACTGAGGGCTGTTGCTGACATATCCGCTTTGTTGGATTTTGAAAACATAAATTGTTTATAACCGAATAAAAAACCCAACAAGGGAAAATACACCAAAATGCAATATGTATGTATGTATGTATGGCACCGGAATATATTGGCCAAAAACGTATCAACGTTGTGGTATGTTTGTATGTATATTCGCTTGTTTATTGTCATATGTATATCCCGAGTGTAAAGTTATTTATAAACGAAAAAAACACAAAATATTTCAGCTAGGTGAGGCAGCACAACAAAATAAAAAAGAGAATAAATTTTTTCGTTGTTGTTTTTTTTTCGGATTTTTATATATTTTTTTTTTTTTTGTTGAATGCCTTTTTTAAATGTTGAAATTTTTGGTTCTTTGTTTTGTTTTCCCTTTTTGGGATTAGAGCAAACAAATATTAATGTCACTCCTATTCCCTGTTGTGTTGTTAGAAACGTTTTGTGTCCCCGCCCCATCGCAAAAACATAAAAATACACAAATTTTAAATTGTGTTTATGATCCAACATTCAAATTGTATTTATGCTCCATTGCAAAATTTTTATTAAGCCATCATGTTAAACAATTAAGTGGCAGGTGGGGTGATTTGTAGAGAAATGAGATTTTATGTGCACATTTTGGAAAGGGCTAAAATATACATTAGGAGTCTATTTGAGGCAAAATTTAAGTATCAATTAAATATTTAGATATATATTCTTTTATGTATTACATCTGATCAATTTGCCCGATTCAGGCGAAATTTTGCACAAATAATGTGTTTGACCCAAAGACGAACCCTATTAAAATTGGAGATAATCGGTAAAAATTTAGGTATAGCTCCCATATATATTTTCGTCCAATTTGCATTATATTGTGCACCAAACGTGTAATATCAGCCCGAATAGTATGGAATTTTGCACATACAACCAAATTAGGCCTGAAAATAAGTATGCCAAATTTGATCGAAATCGGT